TGTCATATTTTACATTTACCAGAAAAGATTTGTAGATATCTGAAATTAAATTTGATTTCAGAGTACTTAAAATTTAGTGATAATAAAATTAGTGATATATAAAATACAATTCTGACTAGGAGTATTGTAAGTGTGACTAGGTAGAATGCTTTAGTGCTATCTATAATAGAAATGTAACTAGTCAGCCTGCCTATTTTATATTAGAACAAAGCCTCATTGTCTTGAAAGTATCTAAAACTTAATTTTAGATAGGCATCATTAGAATTGAGATATCTGGAATTCTAATGTAAGTATTCATAAAATAAGTAGTTGATATCTAATTATATTTGTTCTAGCAGAAATATATTTTAGATGTCAAGAATAGCATTTCTATATAGCTACAAGATGAGTCATTTTGACTAACAGTCTGTTATGAACTGCACAGGATCTAAAATTAGAGTTGATCCTAGTCATTCATCACATGTTTAGATAGGAAGAATGTTTATTTTAGATAGGGAGAATGTTAAAGATATCGAGGTAAAAGCCCAATACACGTGAATAGGAAACGTGACATCATTTGTACTATTAGGAATTAAGTTTAATATATCTGAAATGTTCATTTCTACTAGGAAGCAATGCATTCTCATTTGAGACATTCACAATATTTAGTCTATCGAGCCAATAAAAATAAAAATGGCCTGCCATAAAACGCCCCTTGATAACAGACAAGAGTAACGCATTTTTAAAGAATTTCAACATGGGGTGGCGGCGCATCCTCATCCCACGGCTTTAAAGCTAACTGTAAAAAATATATATTTATTTAACTTTCATTAAACGACTGGAAATTTTTGATTATTTAAGGAAATAGCTCTTAGGAGATGTGGGTGGCTCTTAAAAGAGCCGTTGTGTTTGTCCAGATCAGTCGGTAGATTTAACCGCCAAAGCCGTAGAGAGTGCGGCCCTGCCTCTTGAGAGCATAGACCACATCCATGGCGGTCACAGTCTTCCTCTTGGCGTGCTCGGTGTAGGTTACGGCCTCACCGATGAC